CCTTCCCTGAAAGCCCCTGGCAGACCACCTCTTCCAACATACTCCCCCCAAAAAAAATTGTGTTCGTCAGTAAGCAACCTGCTTGTGGTACCAGGCCTCCATGATGTTCGTTGTGGTGCTCCTGTCCTGATGGAACCAGCTGTCAGATGGTACGTGGGCCTTGTGAGGGTTATCTCAGTTCCACAGGGCCAGGAAAGCAGAGCTCTTCCATTTAGCTTTTCATTAGTCGGCTCTGTTTATGTGTATATATTTTTAATTGATGTCTGTTAATATTTTAGCTATTGTTAGCGACTTTGAGACCACTTGGTGGGGAGAGGTGGCATATCAATGTAATTAATAATAATAATAGCTCTCCCTTTTTCCTGATTCCTTCTCTCCTTCCCACCCACCAATCAAACTAGTTCATCTGCCCTCCTGTTCCTCAGCTTTCCCTCCTTCCCATCCCAGCAGACTCTACCTGGGAAAACTATGGCCAAAGTTGTGCAGGGCTGAATGCCAGGCTGGGTCCAGTTGCACAATAGAGAATGCACAAGAATTTGTGCTTTCCCCTGTATCCCCCTCCCCCCACTATTTCTTCTTTCACTTCTCTTTGCTGCCTTTTCTTCTTCTGACAAAGGGGCACCTGCACAGTGAGGAACCGGCAAGGACTTGAGAGGAGCACCTCATTTTTCCCTGTAGCACCTTCTCCACACTATATCCTTTTACCCTCCTTTTGGCAGCCCCCACATTCTCACCCTCCCCTGCTTCTTTCTTTCCCTCTCACCCACCCACTAATCTACCTTTTGTATGCTCCCCCCCATAATTTATATCCTGCCTTTCTTCCCAATGGAGACACAAAGAAGCTTACATCATTCTCCTCTCATTTTATCCTAAGAATAAACATGTGAACAGGGATGGACTGGAAATAAAACATGCTGAAAAATGGTCACTCCTGCAGCTGGTCCTGGCCCCAGCTCCCAAAGGAAGAAGAAAGAGAGAAAAATGGTCAGAGTCTATCTGAACTTGAATCTACCTCCCATAGTGGGGGAAGAAGGAGGGAGGATGAAACAGGCAGCCTGCCTAACAAATTGCCTGGGCACTGCTTTCTTCACCTTTCTTGGGCCAGGTAGCCTCATCTTGCATGGGGCTGGACAGGCTGGGGTAGGCACTGCTGCTACTGCCTCACATGGGGCAAGCAGTGCTGCTGCCTCCCTCCTCACACAGGGCTCAGGCTGGGTCATGTGCCACTATTGCTGCCTCCCCAGGGGTCAGGAGATCTGAGCTGGGGCTCAGCCTGGGCCAGGTGCTATTGACACTGCCTCCCCCACAGCTCAGGTGGGCTGAGCCAGGTGCTGCTGCCTCCTCTTCCTCACATCAGATGGGGATTGGGTGAACTAAGCTTGGTGCTGCCTCTCCACCCTGCAGGGCAGGGTGCTATTTGTTGCCATGCTGCCGCCTTATACAGCATCTATAAAGGTTATGGACTATGACTGTAAAGCTGGGCTGTGCAAATAGTGTGCCAAGGAAATTGACTCAATGGTGGCCATGAGACTGTGCCACCCTGCTGGAACATTGGCATGTGCCCAGACAAGAGGAACCTTGTTCTGAAGCAACGTGCCTTACCAGATGTGGACCCATGGAAGACCCGATGCCTAAGCTAGCCTTCCTGACCCTGCAAACACACAAGACCAGCAGCAGTTCACCTCACATAAGCCATGTTCTGCAAAGGGAACCTGGACATTCCTTCCCAGACAACATGGAAAGCTCTCTTCTTCATCATGCTGGCACCTCCCCCCCCCTCTGTGTATTGAAATCTCCAGGTGAAGCATGTAGGCAACTTCAGCCTCAACAAAAGAACTCCATCCATGATGGGACTAAGGAAGTAGTCACATCTTCCAGCTAACACAGCTGTTTACCATCGGATTTAACAGTAACTATCAGCAATGAAGTTGGGACATTACTGTTCTTTTTTCTCTCTTGTCTCTCCCCTTCCCCCTTAAAACCACTATTTCAATTGCCCAACCATTAATCCCTTTTTCTTGGCCCATTAACAGTAGTTATGCTTCATGAGGACTACATGCCTAAAGGAACATCAGCTCCCAGTCATTTTAGGGTATAAAAGAGAGCATCATCCCACTGCTCTCTTTCACTTGCTTCTCATCTCCCTATCCCCACCCTACCTTACTGGTTCTATTCTAGCGCTGTTTGGAGCCTTCCATGCGCACTGCCAGTCAGTACATGATCCATTCCCTTAATTTTCACTGCAGATTCAACTCACCACGTTGGACAGGTAAAGCATTGCCTATCAATGATATTACCTGCTAGTTCAAAAATCTGTGTACCTTTCTATCTGAATTCCTAGATCTGTATTGTATCTGTGTATGCTTGATTTTATATTGTGTGTTTGAGAATCCTTTCAGTAAAAGAAATCACTGCTTCTTAAGATCTCAGCGTCTATTTCTGGGATCAGGCTAAAGTTGGACTCTCGTATACACAGGTCTGATCCTATATTCAATGCCTATTGCCATTTAGTATTCATATTCCCCATGTTTATTGATAAATCAAGGCAATTTGGCTAACACATTGGCCTGCCAAGAGGTGTCCTGATCTCTTAATCGCAATTCCACCTCTGCTTGTGAGGTAAGTTAGGCTGAGAATGTGTAATTGCCCCAAGGTCACCTAGTGAATTTCCATAGCAGAATGGCAATTCAAGAACCTAGCCCTGAACTGTAGCACTACCCAACACTGACTTTTGTGGGGTGGCTGCTTTTGAATGGAAATGAGCGGCCATGCCTGGGAGAGTCATACAAGTCAGCTGGCAACAAGTCACCTGCTGGCTGTTGCCAGGCCCACCCCCAAAGTCCTCCCTCAAAGTCTCAAAGGCCAAAATGGCCCTGGAAAGGCTTTGCTCTGTTCCCCATCTTTTACTGAGATAAATCAACCTGGAATGATGGCAAAATTATTGTAGTTGCCTAGCGTAATTTTGGGGTTTTTAACCCTCCCAGTGCTTGTTGGTTTGTTCCATTTCAGATTTTTTCTGCAAACCCAGGGGTTTTCTCAGATCTGTAGAAAATTCCATCTTGCCTGTTCATTACTCCAGTCCCCAGGTCTAAGTATTTATGTATTAATTGTTGCATTTTTTGGACTGTAAAGTTGTGAAGGTAAATGTTTTCTTCACTTTAAGATTATAATAGTGTGCTCGTACTAGGCAATACAGGACCTAGCCAGGAGTTAGAAACCATGCTTTGGTAAATGAATTGTTCCTGTGCTGTCATTTTGCAACTGCATGTCTTTAAATCAATGCAATCTTTTGTTCAGTTTGGGAAACACTGAAGTATGCATGCTAGTATCTTAGAGCAGCTGGCCTGGAAATAATTGCTTTGTGCATGTTAGTATCATAGTAAAAGCATTTTCTGGTCTATGGGGGCCTAATATCATGTGTGAGTGTTATTGTGTGATGTCAGGAGATGTTAGGAGAGTGGTGAGAACAGCAATAGACAAACATTGGCAGTTATATCTCTGATCCTATCTCTGGATCTCACAACCACGCTCCACGTCCTGTCCACCATTTCTTCTCAGGTACATGAGTTTTAATATTTCATGAGATAACAAGTTTAGGAATTCTAATTCTAATGTGTTTGACTTCCTCACTGCTTTCTATGCCAGACTTAAACATTTCAGACCATGCCCAAGTATTAAAATCTTCAGAGGTAGGGCAGGTAAAATTGACAGTATATGGCCAAAGGCAATATAACATTTGTTGTTGTTGTTGTTCAGTCGCACAGTCGAGTTCGACACTTTGTGACCCCATGGACCAGATCATGCCAGGCCTTCCTGTCTTCCGCCATCCTCTGAAGTTTGCTCAATTTCATGTTCGTTGCATCGATGACACTGTCTAACCATCTCATCCTTTGCCGTCCCCGTCTTCTTTGACCTTCAATCTTTCCCAGCATCAGGGTCTTCTCCAGTGAGTGCTCCCTTCTCATTTGGTGGCCAAAGTATTTGAGCTTCAGTTTCATTATCTGGCCTTCCAGGGAACAGTCAGGGTTGATTTCTTTTAGGATTGACTGATTTGATCTTCTTGCAGTATAACATACAATATAACAAAAAACAACTGTCCAATTTAGCAAAATAAGAGCCCATCTTCAGAATCTCCAGAGTTCTCCTTGAGGAGTTTGGAACAAAGATGATAAGAATCTGACAACAGATCTAACAGCTCAGATAGGAAAACTGTTAGGCAGTAAGGTGACCAGTGCACCAACAGAATCCTTAATGTGTCCCACATATCCAACATTTCTCTCCCAAGAGATCCCCATGCCAAATTTCAGGAACATATGATAAAAGGTTTTAGTTTTACAGGCAAATTAAGAAATCACTTATTTTAGCTATATTATCTTTGTTTTCCACCTGATTGAGATGGAATCCTCAGAGACTACTATTTACCGCAGGCAATTAAATTTCTCACCTTCAGAGAGGGCAAAGGCAGACATTTGATACTCCCATGAGGCAGGCAGCATTGAAGAAAGGGTAGCGAGAAGCATTGGCACTCTCAGAGGAGCATGTAGAATTATAGAAGGCATAGACAGATTTCAAAATGGGCACACAGAAGAGAAGGAAAAGAACCCAAAGAAGAGCAGAAAGCATAGCACAGTGGGCACAGGCAGGCAACTGGCAACTCCAGAAAGGAAGGCAGCATGGGAGAGGAAAAGGGGGAAATCTCAAAGACTAGCTAAATATATTGATTCTATCCCACAAACTAGCAAAAGAGTAAGCGTATTTCTGTTTGTCAAACAGGTCAGTATACAACAGCTAAGCAACTTGCAAAGAACATAAATA